CACAAATTAGTTAGCATAAATCAGTTAAATGACGAAAAATTAGGTGTATATTTACTTGTGACCACTCAGTGTAGTGGTATTTATTTTAATCATTGAATAATAGTTCCCAGTTGGCGAGCGTTTACAGATTTACAACCCTCAAATTTGGGGTTCCTTCCCCGCAGTGGACAGAGTGTAGATAGTCTATTGTGTAGCTTTGCATTAAAAGAAACAAATGCTTTAAATAGCAAATATTTTATAATAAATAAATAATATAATGAGTTTGTTTCTGTAAGCAATAAGCTTCATGGGCTACCTGTGGTGTACGTACAACAGGTATAAAACCCTGATTTATAGCAACTTTACTGCTGAACCAACGGGAGACCATAATAATATTTCAGTTGGAACATTGCTCGGTTTCTTCCGTCGTACCTAGAAAAAACACTTTCGGATGCAATTAGAAACCCTGTTTGGACTACTTTTTATCACATGATTAAAGTGACAAATTCAAAGTTAACACTATTTCACTAACGATAACATCACGCTATGGCAGTTAAAACTGAAAATCCGAAGTTAAAGCTACTATAAGGAATAGTATTTTTGAATTAAAATAAGTACACAAACAAAATCATCTTCATTAAAGGTAATAAACAATCATGCATTATTATAAAACAATCAGTAATTTTACCTAAAATGTTTGAGGGTCTAATTTAGGCATTAAGGTTTGAAAGGAGGAATTCTGGGAAGGGTAAAGCTTTGCTCGTAGTGACGATGTGACCTCTATGGGATATTGTTGTAACTAGGTTTGGTAATGACACACGTGCGTTGTAGCTTGTAGATTATAAAGTAACTATGCCGAAATCGAAGCGAAATAAACAAAGTATGTATTACATTTAATAATTCATATATACATTTTTGGTTGAAGAAGCAATGAAAATAGTCAAAACGGTTACTAATAAACACTTATTTCTTAATTTCAGTTTCTCTTACAAATACAAGGAAGAAAGGGTTAGAATTAAAACAACACCTCATCGAGGAGGTAGGATCGTACCTTGTTTTTAATTTATTTTTAAAGTAAGGGTTCAACTAACACTAACAGGCTTTGTTGCACTATAACTTATAGAAAGAGAGACTTCATTTTTACTGCGTTATGGTGCCTTCACGTTATTATTATTATAATAGCCTGATCACTAAAACTTTATTTATTGTTAATGTTATAGAATTAGCACATGTTTACAGTCTTTTGATTGGTTTATAAGGATATCATTAACTTAAATAAATATATAGTTTATAACTATGTCATATTTTAAATTTCAGGTAAAAGCAGTTTTAAGCATTATTACAAAAATTATTCAATGTTAAGAATATTGGAAACAATATGGATGAGTTGAGTATTCAGTTTAAAATAGAAGACTATGATGTAATGGAATTACTGAAACTTGGTTATATTTGGAGAATATTGATAATAGGAGTTATTTTTAAATTCAATATTACAATATAAGTTATATAATAGTGATAGACTTTTAAAAAGAGGGTGGGGTGGCTCTTTATATAAGACTATTTTATTTGTAGATGAACTGCATCATGTTGAAAATGAAGATAAAAAGTAGTAGTAGTCAAGAGATAGAATCCATATGGGTTGCATTTAGGCTTTTTAATAATAGAAAGTTCTTATTTGATTATTGTTATAGGTCACCTGATCAGGCAGGTGAGAAATTGTATAATGAGAATAGAGTTGTTATTAATGAGGATACTGGTGCCATAATTATGGGATACTTGAGTTTCTGTCCCATTATTGGGATTATAGAGTCTAGTGAGGGAGAGAGGTTATTTGAAGTGATTCAGGATGGTTTTCTTTACCAAATGGTCAGAAAAACCACCAGAAGGGATGCAATTTTGGAATTGTTATTAACTGCTAATACAAGATGTGGTTGCAGGAGTTGAAGTTGAAGAACATTTGGGGAAGTGAACACTGCATATGGTTTGATGTTGTAATAAAAAATAAATGAAATTTTAGCTTATAATTTTCAAAACACCAATTTTGAGGCCATGAGACAAAATTTGGAAAATGAGTTAAAAGGTAATGTTAAACAGATTTGTAAAATTTTGAAAAAATAAGCAGCTTTTAATTCAAGATAAGTATATTTATTTCAAAGAATAAAAAGAGAAAAATGATAACAGGAAAGGTCAAATCTAACTGGTCTACTAAAGCCATGAACAAAATGAAGAATAAATACAATAAACAGGATGGAAGATTAACAGAACTATTAAGTATGTTAAAGGAAAAGCAAAACTTGAACTGAATATGCATGGGGTCAATCTAATTGGATGACCCCGTATTGGAGAAGGAATGTTGACTATAATGTTTAATTGAATTGGCAATATCAGTCTGACTCTGACAAGATGAAGTGCAAAGAAATGTTCTTGTGAAGAATAAAAATACTTGTGTCTATCATACATTTGCATAACCTCTAGAACCTCTTAAATGCATATCTACAGGTTTTCAATATCCCTATATATTGTATCTGGTATTTACTCTCTACCATGGACTGTTGCTACACCAGCAATGCAGCATAAAATGAATAGTTTATAACTCTGACATCAAATACATAATACCATGTTGAATGGTACTTTTTAAAAGGTTGTAATATGCACACTTTGATCTCCACCCATGCATATAGGGTTAAAATGGAGATTTGACTATTAAAGGATGTTGATGGCAAGATTTTTATTAAAATCTGTGAGCTTTTATGTGTTTTCTTCTGTTTTTACATCAGATGATGTTAGCAGTACTCCTGACTTTTGATCATTCTATAGAAAGTATTGGGATTGACTTGAATCATGAGATTAATGATAAAGTACCAGGAGCAGACAATACTTGTTTTACAGGATTTTCAAGAGATCAAAGAGAAATATGCAATCCTCTCTCTTTCATTTTTAGTCGGTCAACAGACAGTGGACAGGTAATGGAGGACTGGAGAGTTGCTAACTTGACTCCTATTTTTAAAGGGGGTGATAAATGTTGTCCTGGAAACTATAGACCAGTTAGCCTTATTTCTGTAGTAGGAAAATTTCTAGAGTGTCTTACAAAAGAAGCTTTTCAAAATCACATGATGAAATATGATAGCATAAAAGAAAATCAACATGGATTCACTAAAGGCATATTTTCCCTTTATAATTTATACTTTGTTTGAAGATGTTACAGGTTGTCTGAGTGATGGAAAGATTGTAGACATGTTTTACTTTGATTTTATAGAAGCTTTTGATAAGGTACCAAACAAAAGATTAGCTACAAAAATCACATTGATGGGAGTTGGGGAAAAAGACTAATATTTAGACTGAAGGATGGTAGAGAGGAAAAACGTTATTAGTGGTTACTGTTGGAGTGCTTCAGGGGCCAATGCTTGAGACTTTGCTTTTTATTATTTTCTTCTTTATGATATTGATAGGAGCATAATTAGTAAATTAGTAAAGCTTGCAGATTAAATTAAATATTTGAGTATTTCTAGTTTAATTGAGAATTAGGAGTTATAGAAAGACTTTGATCAATTTGTTATTGTAACAGATATTTGACCAATGACATTTAATTGTAATAAGTGCTAGATGATGCATTTGGGTTATCGTAATTTGGATCAGTTTTTTTATATTGATGGAAACCCATCCAATAGTCTGATTAAAGAAAAGGATCTAGGTGTAAGGGTATAAAAGTCCCTTAAACAAACAAGGCAGTGCTCTGTTGCTAGAAGAAAGGCTAATAGAAATTTAGGGTGTATTTATAGACATACTGATTACAAGTCGAAAGAGAGAATTATTTTTTTATACAGATTACTAGTTAGGCCTTACTTGGAATACTATGTACAGTTTTAGTCTCCTTATTCAAGAAATAATGTTGACATATTGGAAAGGTTTCATTGGAAGGCTACTAGGATAATTCTTGGGATGGAATAGTTATGTGGATAGGTTAAGATCTCATAACTTACTTTCTCTTGAGAAAAGAAGGGTAAGAAGTGAGTTTATTTGCATTTACAAGAGAGTACAATAAGATAAAGGCCTCTGATTTGTTTGTGCTATATTCTAAAAATAATAGGGTGAAAGGACAAAAGTTTAAGATTTGGATAAGACAAGCTAGGTTCCAGTTAAGACTTTTTTCTAATAGGGTGACTGGCTTATGGGATGAAATGCTGTCAGCAATAGTGAAAGATGCCCTTTACAAGAGTTTAAAAGGGGAATCAATAAAGGGTGGGTTTAAATTTTTATCTTTTCTCAAGAGTGGGTGTGAAGGGGCATCCTTGAATAATGAAATGGTCCCTTTTTGTCCTTCTGTTATTTTAATAATTAACTGGTAAAAGACAAGGTGTTTCTGTTTAAATCATAATGTAAGTATTGATTTGCATAATATGTGTTTTGTTTTTAAATTCTTATTTAATATACTTCTGCATCCTCTGTTTAACTAAAAAGTGCAATTTATCCAAAATGTCATTTATGGTAAACTGTTAAGTTAGTGAGTAAGCTGTGTGTGAGTTTCAGTGGTGTCAGAGTTGGGTCATGTGTCATTTGGTTTTTCCCAAAATACATGTTTTGGCATTATTGAGATATGCATTATAAGGAAAAAGTATACTCATTTGAACTGTTGTAAAGTAAAATATTTAATGTAGGTAAAAATTTTGTTTTGCACTATAGTTTTACTTCAAGAGCAGTGGCATGACCACTCGAGAGGTCTTGATGATCTACTTTTCTAGATTATTTATTATTATGTTGTGTACTTTATTCCTTACTAGCAAGTAGCAATTATTTTATTAACATTTGATTATTAGCTACAAAATGCAAAAGAGAATTGCAATCAAAAATCACTTTAATGAACTAGCAGCTATGAAAATTTATTTTATCATAGCATTGCTTAATACTTTACTGTGAAAGTTTACTGATAACCTGTTTGCAAAGTGTTGGATTAATTTTATCTTATGTTTACAATAAAAACTTATCTCTACTACTTCAACACAATTAGATTGGGTACTGAAATAAACGTGCCATTTGTTTTTCTACAGAAAAATTTAAGGTCTCAAATTATTAGTTTGTAATTTTACAGAAAGAAGGAAATGAAATTGTTAATATAATAGAAAAAAAAAATTTACATGATTAATCAGATGAGTTTGGTTGTACTAAAAAGTTATTTTAATGGTCCAGTGAAAAAAAACTATCTGTGGAATGGTTAACAAAAGATATTCAGAATTTTTTCTACCAAGAACATGAATAATGATATTAATGAGTGTTAACAGCTTTTGTTTTAATTTTAAAATAGTACAGTGTATCTGAAAATGTTGTATTGAACATAATATCAGACTTTCTATGTTGATATTCTAACTCTGTATCATTTAGATCAATATTATTGTGATTTTGCAGATACAAAAGTGTGTCGACAGTTATGCTCATGTGTTTGTTTTCTCTGTTCAAAACATGCGAAACAGTAAATTAAAAGATGTTCGGCAGGAATGGAAACACAGCAGGTAAGTGTTTTAATAACATGACACAAAGAGAAACATAACATTTTAGTCAGATTAACTATTACATAGTTGAATGAGAAACTTAATGTTTTTGTTTACATCATAGTAAGCTTATCGTAGCACCTACTAGAAGGATGAAACATTTGTACATGTAAACCTAAATATTTTTGCTGTCTATGTGGACTTTAAAGTGTTTTTCCTTGTAAATTACTAGTTTTAGCTAGAAAATTATTGCTGAAATTAGATATTGGAGTTAGTTTTAGAATGTTTTTCTTCATTATTAGCTTACTATCCACATTTCCCTTGATTACGGGTTAAAAAAAAGAATGCAAATTAAATTAGGTTAAAAAAATGACTAAGGGTTTGTAGGCTAATTATTATAATAACTAAGTAGAAGTATTAGTAATTTGTTAAAAATACAATTACTAATGATACATGTTAAACAATTGTCAGAGTTGTAGTAAATAATAACTATAATAGTGGTGATTCTGCTTGTTAATCTCTTGTATTCTTTTTGTTTTTGACAGATTTTTTTTTGGGAAAAACAAGGTAATGACTCTTGCTCTAGGGCACAAACCAGAGGATGAACACAGAGATAACTTGCATCTTATTAGTAAACATTTGAGAGGCCAGTGTGGCCTATTATTTACCAATAAAAACAGAGAAGAAGTTTTAAGGTAAATTTTAATATGAAC